ATCTCGTTAAAATCTCCTCCGCATATCCATGGCATTTGGCTAATAAATTCAAATTGGCTAATAAATTTCAGGATCTCTTCCTTATAGTAGTGTTTAGGTGACCATAGAAATGCAAGAATCTCCACCGTGATTCACTGCCTTCTATAAGAATCGCCTCAATCTGAAAATCCAAAAAAAAATGATACAAACCTCCAATCTCCTTTGCCATAGTAATGCCAAGCCTCCAGATTTGCCTCTTGCATGATCCTGATTTTGTGTTGAATACCCTCGAATTTCGCTGCTTGTAACCATGTCTCCATCAAGAAGATCAAGGTGGGAGCTTTTCACTTCACCAAATCATTAAGGGAACGGATTGTCCAAGGGTTCCCAAGCCCTCGGCAGTTCCATATTACACAGATCATTACTGTCAGCGGGACTGAAAATCAATCTCGACGCCGGTACTTTAATGGGTAAGCTTCCATCAGAGATCTTCGCCATTTTTATAACATTTTCAATCAATAGACTTTGATCATCTACATTCATTCGCTTTAATCCAATCGACATTTCTTGGATTTCTCAATTCTCCTGTCTTGAAGGATTATTTGAAGCTCTAATTCATTTTCCTTTTTCTCATCTAGATACGGGTCTTCAGATTGGAGGTGGTTGGGTCTTCTATGAAGGAGCCAGAGTAAGAGGAGGGGTTTTATGGGAGCCTAATGTGGCTTTTTTGGACCCTTTTTTATTTAAGAGGATATGGCATCTAACAAAAAAATCCATGTAATTTTTGGAAGGGCCTTGGGTCATATCAAATTTGAGATCCACCTCCATCAAGTTGGACTCCTCTGTTAAAATTTAGGAGAATTTGGAAGCCGGTATAATTTTTTAGACATATTTAGGTTAAAATACAACTCAAAAACTTATTTAGGGTAAAGTACATATTTTATGAAAATACCAGTATTGCCATTCGTTAGTCAATGGAAAACGTATAAAACCTTTTGTATTCCTCCGTATATTATGGGTATAAGCATTTAATGGGAGGTTTAAACAAGGGATTTAGTTTATCAAAACAGTTTCAAATTCGTCATCCTCAATCTTCGGCATCCACAATCTTCGGCATCCTCATTCTTTGGCATTATGATTCTTCGGCAACATCATCCTTCAACATCCTGTTGAATATTGAACGACCAAATAATACTCCGACTGTTCATCTTCATCGACATCATCCAGAAGCAGTCCATCTTCTTCGGCACTTCTTCACCAAAAAATTGAGGTGACATTCTATTTTTTTTTTTTGGGGTTTTTTCATTAATTGATTAGTTAGTTTTTTTTGTTCATAAATTGTGTAAGTTGATTCAAAAAAATTACAAAATTGTAAAATCCTAATTATGTGAAATTATATTATGAATTTGCAGATTTATTTTAGCATATTTATATGAAATTATATGAAAATTATTATGTAACTGTTTTAAATAAATATTTGAGATTCAAATGTATATAGTTCATATTCAAAACTTTAATGGATTTAACTATGCTTTGTAACTATTCTCTTGATGTTAAGGATTGAATTATTGCAAGTATGTCATTATCAAAACTTTATTTATACTTGTTTTTTAAAACTCAAATAGTTTTGTAACTGATTTAAGTAACTATTTGTCTTTCAAATATATACTGTTTTAAATCAAAATTTAATGGGTTTGACTGTGTTGCGTTACTATTTTCTTGATTTTAAGGAATCAATTCTTACAAGTATGTTATTAGAGATTTTATTGATCCATCAACTATTTAGTTTACTAAAAACAGGTTCATAATTGATTGAAGTAACTATTTGAGCTTCACATTTAGACAGTGCATATTCAAAAATTAATAGGTTTAAATGTGTTTCGAAACTATTCTTCTGATATTTTTTGACTGGATATGGCGTCCAAATTGACTCAAATTCTCTGATTCTAGTGAATACTGTGAGATTCATGTCGTCTTTGATTTCAAGAAAAAATTTGGGTAGTGTTCGGAAGTCACCATCCCAAGATTTTTGGGAGACCAAAGGAAAGGATGTGATAGTTTTATTCCATTATCTATTTTTTTTTTGTGATTGTGATTTTATTCTTTGGGCTCTATCATTTATTCATATACATGAAAGTTGAACTTAAGGTTCAATATGCGTGTTTTGTGATCTCCACATATATCATAAATTTTTAAACAGGTTACTATGTAAGTTTGGGTCCCATTTTATGATTATACATGTGATTGTGTGTGTAGGAAACCACATTTGTGGGATCAAAATGCATGTAATAACAGGATGGTGAGGATTGAGGATATAACAAAGCTGCTTGAAAAGAAATTGCCATTAGAGTTATTGACAATGATATTATAGAAAACCTTGATGCTTGCTATAACATTCATTCATTAAATGAATTTGGTGGGTGTAGCTGAAATCCATAACTGATGACTTTGAGCTCAGTTATCCTCATTTGACATGTCACAAGCTCAATTAATTAGCTTTTTATGTTATTTCAACTATTGGTACTTCACAAACTTGAATTAAATCAACATTTTCATTGCTCTATTTCTCCAATATGTGGTTGCATTTTTTGGGAATTCTCATGTAGGGATTTTACAATTATAGGGATTGCTTTCATAATATTTGACTATTGGTCAAATTTCAGAAAAAAAAAATATTTGACTATGTGTTGTGTTGCATCTAAATGATTCCATAATGTAGATATCCTCCACATGCCCTTATGCACTATACTTGTGGATTACTTGAAATTGTAACTACTAAATGTTTTTCTACTCGAATTTTTGTTTATCTCTATCCACCATCTTTTTTGTTTGGAGGTATGATGAATCTTTGTTTTTTTTGGTTCACCATCAAAACATAGCACAAAACAGTTGACCGCCAAATTGCTATAGATGAATTATCATCATGTTTTTAGCCGCTCCCATCAATTGCGATTCTTTTCCAAACGTTTGTATAAGGTCCAAGAATATGACAAAACATTTTAATCATTACTGATGTTGTTAGAGTATTTTAACTAAAAGAGTGTTTTTTATGTGGGAACTCAATCTCACATCAACTAAATATCTAAAAGTACTTGAGTATATATATATATATATATATATATGCTAGTGTTATCTAGTCTTTGAGTTAAAGTGAGACCTTGAATTATCTCTTATCTACTGTATAAGTTTCTAAGCAATACAAAAAAGGAGCCGTGTGAAGCTTCTGCTTCACTCGATTGTGTAGATTCGAGTGAAGCAATAGTCAATAGACTGGGCTATTGTATCCTAGGGATGACGAGTTGTTATCTTCCGCGCTATGATTATTTCATAAAGGGGCGTGAATCGTCTTAAGAGAGCGACCTAGTTCGCACCTCACCCTGCCATTCATTTTATTTTTTACATCCCATTTTTCCAACAGATGCAGCTTCAGATTACGACTTTTGTTTAAATGTATATAGATGCCTTATGCTTAAAATGAATCCCTCAAATTGGTCGTATTTCTATGTCGACTTTCTTTTATATTGTTTTTAGTTGCATTCTAAGATAGTAACCATTTTAAAATGTGGAAGACCAGTTGCTTACAACAAGCATTAATGTTTAACATTTGTAATTAGCCACATAATTTTGTTGGTATATTGTTCAGTCGTATTATGTTTTTACTTCATGTTCTACTATGAGATGAGAAAGATCTCAAACTCAAAAGTAACAACATACCAAATTGTTTGAAATATTGATTACATGTTTTTCGGAGCTTCTACTAAACACTGAGACATCCACATTCATTTTTTTCAGTCAAGTTATTAGCGTCGTGCTGGTGCCACTTTTTTATAAGTTTACATCAAAAACACATATACAATAAAATTAAAATGCATAACTCATGTTGATGATGCACAAAATAGTCTTATGCAATATCAACAGCTGAGTGTATGATAGAGTATAATTAATGGACAATAAATAAAGCAATCAATGGTAAAAAGGTAAATATTGGATCAACATGCAGATGTATAGTAGTTTGGTCAAGGGGATCTAGTCTACTCTGGGAAACAACAATGGTGGCTGGAGAACCTTTATTAATGAAATAAAGTAAGGTGAGCAGAAGAGAGAGCAGAAAGGTTAGCTCCAAGAGAGGTATGATAGCTAGAAGAGAGAAAATCTACATGAGGGGTGTGTAGATAGATGTAGAGATAGCTTACAATTTATAGGCATAAAGTCTTTAGGTGAGACGGTGACATGAGGGCAAAGGTACTAGTTCTTCAGGGAGGACAGTAATAAAAGGTAAGTACAATTAAAGATTGTTTTGATCTTCGTGAGTGGGATCGATGGGTCTTAGACTGGGTTGGATCGATGAATTAGGTTGAACCCACGAGTTGGGCTTGAAAGATCCTTTTAGCTACTCTAAGTCCATTTAATTTATTGGGCTTAGCCTAGCTAGACCCGGGCTCGTCATTTGCCCCTATGCCCCAAATCCTTGTTGTATCAAAGGTGTTGAGGGCATGAGTGAGTTCTTCACCTGAAAAAGGTTTATTATTCTTCATGGTAGTAACTTTTTCGACTTTCCATTTCTGTCCGTAAAAATCCTTTCCCCATCTTCTGTCCCCATTGCAATATCGATCATTTTCTGTGTTTGACCTCTGTTCAATTTTAAAAACCTCCTTTCTCCTAGCCTTCATTCTTTAGGACTTTAAAGGCCTTCGTAGAATATCTTCCCCTTACCCAAGACTTAAAAATCTTGGAAACCCCCTTTTCTCCATTCTTCCCTTTAGCTACAAACTTCCATTGAAGGTGAAGAGGTATTTGGTGGAGAAGGCTTCAATCGGACGGTGTCCCCAAGAAAAGATTCCTTAATGGAGAGGAGAGAGGTGACTCATGGCAGAGTAGGAGTGGGTGGCGCCATCGGAGCAAGCGAAGAGATCCGGTAGTTTGGCGAGTCAACCCAGGCACTAGGCGACACCAGCAAGGCGTTGGGTGGCGCTAGTGCGTTGGGCGACGCCCTCTCCCAAGTGGCTTATGGCGACACAACTATGGTGGAGGCTAAAGGATCTGTCCCAGCAAGGTGAGACGCCGAGGAAAGATGCAGAGAAAGAGGCGCTGACAGCAGTGGAGCACTAGGCCACGCCAAAGCTAAAGCCTAAGTGCTGGGTAACGCCAGTGAGCTGTTGGGTGGCGCCAATGCATTGGGTGGCACTAAGAGTAAGGCGAGCGGTGGCGACTTGGTCCTAGGCAGCGTCGGGCAACGTGTGATGGCTAGGAAAGGCGTCAATGTCGAGGAAAATGACAAAGTGAAAGCGAGAAAGGACGGCGCTGGGCACATGAACCAAGGAAAGGGTAACCCCAGGCAAGGTGACATCAGCGCACTGGGCGACGCCAGCCGGGCACGAACCGGAGGCAAGGAGTGGTCAAGCGGCGGTGGAGGTTATGGGCACAGGTAAGGTAGCTGCATCTGCAGTCTGGGCGATGGCGGCTACTTTGATGGGAATCTAAAACTGGGTGGATCCTTTCACAATAGGCTGGGTGCAAGGAGGGTGGATCCAAGCATGGGGGAGACAAACTTGGGCACTAAGACCTTGCTCAGAGACGTAGTTGGATCTGATGAACCAAGTTGTGGGCGGGATCAAGGTATCGCCTTCTGACCATGTAACTTAACCTTGCTAACTTTTTTGTTAGTCTCGACACTCGTTCATTTTCATTGCATTTTACTGTTCTGTCAAGTAACTGAGCTAGTAAGGGCGATGTAGTGGATGTTAGGCATGCTTCAAGGCGGGGGAAAGGATCGTTGAAGGCAACAGTTCGAAGGTAGTCTCCCTTTTTAGCTCAATTAACTACAATGATGATGTCACCCAGATTGTGTCTTCATACCGTATCCTTTTTGCTGTCATATGTCGTCAGGCGGAGGAGGATGAGCTATCATGTTGTGACTTCTCGAGTGAAATTTTTCGTTATGAGGATGCCTTAGAGGCAGGTTTGAGGTTCCCCATACCTAGACCTATCTATCAGATTCTAGGACACCTATTGCTGGCTCTTGGGAATTTGACTCACAATGGGTAGAGTGATCTTAGCATTCTTCTCATTATGACGACTGGTTCATGGTGCTAATGTTCTTCCTCCTTTAGAGGAGTTTTTGGCTACATACGTGCTTCTGGATAATCTTTCTCCTCATTAGGGGTGGTGTCGTATTACCCCAAGGTTAGGCAAGTTCATCACAGGACTCCTTTTGAATTGTCATAGCTAGAAGTCTAGCTTCTTATTTGTTGGAGGGGAATGGGACACCAAAGGAGACCGTGACCTTGTGCCTTCGAGCTGGGACACCGTTCTGAGGACCAAGCTAGGTAAGAGTTTTATTTTTGGTTTTACATCTAGTTGTCACATACCTGTTCTTACTGTGTGATTATGTCCACATCAAGTCGTCCCAAAGTCTCCCATAAGCCGAAGAGGAAAGGTATCTGGTCTTCCCAATAGACTCGTCATGGTTATGACGTTGTAAGCTTTTTGTCTCACTCCAACTTTGCAGGTACCTCTATTGATAGGGCGATGGTGGAGGCACTTTATGCTTCCAGAGTGGCGTCTTCCCCGTTTTCCTCTAAAAGGGTAAAGTCTGATGCCTCCTATGCTACTCGACCAAGATCTCCTAGCTAAGTTAGTCCCCGAGGGGCGGGACCTGTTGATGCCCCCACTCCTCCCCTAGTTGTGACTCCTATCACACTCTAGGGATAACCCTAGTACGGCTGTAAGGATCGAGGCTCTAGTGCAATCTCTTACAAGGACCAGAGCTCCACATAGCTATCCTACCTCCAGTAGTGGTTCGGTATCCATACTGCATGACGTGAATTTGGTGAAGTAACGACTTTGGGGGTTCGTGATTGCTGTGGAGATCCAAGAGGTCTGTTCTCGAGGTCCAAAGAGCATCATCAACACAATGATAGAGGGCTTTGCTTTGTATGACCTTTACTCATCTTTGATTTTGTACCCGCTTCTTTCCCTCATGTCCTACATTTGTAAGTGGCTTCTACTTTTCCTTGCTTATTCTCAAGCACGATAAAGCTTAGAGGGGCACTCAGCAGTTAGGCGGCAGAGAGGAAAACACGAAGGGCTACTAAGGAACATTTGGAGCTCGAGAGACAGACATGAGAGGCTACCGAGGAGTAGTCGAGGCTAGCACATGAGAGCATTGCCATACTTAAGACCAAGCTTCTGGCGTCTTGTAAGAGGGCTGCCCAACTGGAGGTTGACAGAGAGGCTGTCTGAGCGAGAGTAGAGACAAAGATGTGAGCATCTTGTGAGAGGGTCGCTGGAACAGAGGCTGACCTTCAAGCGACTCTTGAGAGAGCCACTAGGGTAAAGGCTTACTCCATTGAGATGGAAAAGAAAAAGAATGTTGTTGAGAGGGTTGTGGAAGACGCCTTTATTGATGGTTATGAGAAGCTTAAGGGTAAGATCTCAACAGCTTTTCCCACTTATGACTTTTCTTGCTTCGTTCATCATGAGGCTCCAAGGACTGATGATGAGGAGGCAAGCGATGACGAAAACGGATCAGGGAACAGTGAGTGACATCAGGCTTATGGTATCATTGTATTTGCGTTTTTGTTGCTAAACCATGTTCTATCTTTTGTAAATGCTTTATGAACTTCTATGGAATGAGATACAACTTTTGAAGAGGACAAAGTCTTGCGAAATTTTATGTCATGATCTAAAGTAGATAACAATGAAAGTTGATTAAAACAACAAGAGATAACTTTAAATGGTAACTATTGACTTGTGCACCCACTATCTTGCCCCTAACTATTAGTAATATTTCTTCAGGTGTTGTGCATTTCATGGATAGGCTAGGACTTTCCCCTTAGAGCTCTGAATTCTATAGGTACCTGGCCTTAGAACTTCTATGACCGTGTCGGGTCTTTCACAGTTATAGTATTTGGTCATGCAACTCTTGTACTCTGCATTCCTGAACATGACTATCTCTGTCTCTTCCTTTACCAAGTTGAGGTTGATGCAGATGCCTTCTTTATTAGTGGTAGGGTTATGGTTGTGGACCCTAAGAGAGTGTACCCCAATCTCGACTGGTATGACCACCTATGTCCCATAAGATAAGGAAAAAGGGATCTCACCCGTGGAGCTTCTCGACGTTGTTCAATAAGCCCATAACACTCCTGGGAGTTCGTCTACCCATCTCCATTTCGCGCTCTCCAGTTTGATTTTTAGGTTGCAAAGGATGGTCTTGACAGTGACCTCTGCATGTCCGTTCACCTATGGAGAGCCTCCTCGTTAAAACAAATAAGGTAGCTCCTAAGGCTTTAATCCCAGTTCTGCTTGAAGGTCAGTAGGTAGGTAGCTGACTTTTGGTGTCATCATCCCCTAATGAAGTGGGAGACGAAGGATTTGTTCAACTCTACGAATGAGTGAATAGAGGAATGTTTGATCTTTAAGAACCATTGTGGAGCAGATCCCTTCAAAGTGGTAAGGAAGGCTTTACACATGATCTCATCGGATACGTTGTGGAGTTGCATGAGAAACTTATAGGTGTCAATGTGCTCCAAAAGGTCCTTGGTGCCGTCGAAGATCTCATTGGTAAACAGCTTGAACTTTGAGGGTAGGGGTAATTGATAACATCTACAACAAACGGGGTGTTAAAACATCTTACCAAATAATCCACCATCTTTGGTGGCTACGCTTTGATGGCATTAAGGGCATGCCCAGCTAGTCTTGCACCTCTTTGATCTTCTCATTCCAATGGTTAGGGACATGCTCTATCAGATCATTGTAGTAGATTTCATAATCCGCATACTAGTTCTCCCCCTTATCTTCTTGCCCGAGATGGTCATCTGCGTGTGGAACAAGTATGTGAAGAGGGGCAATCACATTGGGGGGACTTATTGGCGAGGGACACCCTGTCATTGGGTGTCACGGTGGGGGGTGCCTTGGTGCCCAGAGTGGGGAGGTTGTGGCACCTCTCTAATTGGAGGGAGTACTGCTCCCGTAGGCTGAGGGACGACGCAACCCGGGGAGAGCATCAGCTGAATGATTTGTTGGTTTTGGCTTACCAACAACTGCATGGTCTCCAAAAGTTGTTGCTCAACCATGGGTATTGTCGCAATGGACGATTTTGCTAGTGCAAGTGGAGGCGAAGGCGGAGCCCCCTCTTGTGGGCCAGGTCATTGTTCTCCGGTTGTTGATTCATTGACCTGGTTTTGATTGCCATGAATTTGAAAAAAAGTAACAAGATAGTAGAAAACTCAGTCGTTTTCCACAGACGGCACCAAACTGAAGATGCACAAAATGGACTTATGCACACTCAATAGTCGAGTATGTAAAACAGAGTGATTAATGAACAATTAATAGAGCAATCAATAGTAAAAAGCAAACAAATGTATAGTGGTTCGGTCAGGGAGATCTACTCCAATCCGAAGACGGCAACGATAGTTGGAGAACATTTATTAATAAAATAAGGAGAGAGAGAGAGAGCAAATGTAAGCTCTGAAAAAGGTATGATAACTATGAGAGAGATAGTTATGTAGAGAAGTGTAGAGAGGTGTGTCCCTCATGTGTAGAAGGCTTACCATTTATAGGCATAGAGCTTTGATTGAGGCGATGAAGTGAGGGTAAATGTACTAGTTCTTCAGGGAGGATAGCTACAGCTAAGGATAGGTACAATTAAAGATTATCTTAATCTTCGAGAGTAGATATTCCAATGATTACTCCCCACGTGCTCCATTCTTCTTGGACTTCTTGGGTCTTGGATTGGGTTGGATCGATGAATTGGGTTGAACCCACGAGCTGGGCTTGAAGGATCCTTTTAGCTGCTCTAAGTCCATTTAATTTATTAGGTGGTTCAATTAATTTTTAATTAATGAGAAATCAGATTTCAACCCAAATTATAGTCCTAGTTACTACTCGCACAATGTAAATTGAGCTCAACCAAAATTTACAAATTTAATCATAAAGGGACATAAAACGACTACACGTGATTAGAATAATTAATGAGCTCACGTACCTCGAAACACATGAACGAAAGTACATGCAAGAAAGTACGTGCAAAAAATACAAGAGAAACACAATACCAATCACAATCAGACCGAGCAGATTATTAATGCTCGGCTCAATGGGCCGAGTTGTCAAATCATACAGCACAAATGAACACAATGCAAAAAATAGCCTTTTACGCAGGCCCTTCGAAAAGCAAGAGAGTAAGACAATGCCTAATTCGCAGGAACGTTTCTTTAACCATAGGAGAATATTCATCACACCCTTATAAACAGACATAACAAATAAAATATTTAGGAGAGATCCTAGCATCTAAAAAGAAGTCGGCTAAACATTAGGTGTGGTACCTAATACGTCGAAAAGCTAAAATCATGGGATAGACTTTGTCATACAACCTTATATAAACCAGTTTAAGCCTGAGTCAAAGAGACACAAAATTCCTGGTGAATTTGCTTTCTTTCGGAAGCATTACTAATTTAGGCATCAGAGTGCTTCTGATCAGTCTACTCTCAGTCTCTGGAAATTTACTTATTTTGTAGGACCAATAGTGCGATCCTAGTTCACTTTTCTCAAATTAAAATCGAACTCTTGAAAAGTAAGAAACTTGGTGCCCTTTACAATTGGCGCCATATGTAAGAAACTTGAACAAAAAAGT